CACTTGTACATAACCCTCCATTCTAACTCATAAGATGATATGATCTGGCTGAATTAAGCAACAGGACAAAATAGAAATACCACACCAAACAAGAGAGGGCGTGAAAGAAATTTCATGGCTGAATATAAGTATAGGACAGAGACATTGAACAACAATAGTTTTGTGGTATGGTAAAGGCAAGAACTATTTTTATCTCTTGGCAGTGTAAAATTTACACTAGGTTTTCTGTAGTTCCAGACCTGACCGTTCTTAATTGAGCTCCAAACTAGCTCATTCAGTTGCCTATACAACGGTCCCACAAATGTTGAACAAGGTTAAATGAGAATTCATTATTTTCTTCAAAAAAAAATCGAACACAAAATGAATCTGTTTTTTCTTCTGCAGTCTTCCTTAGCTCTGTAAATGACATCAGTATCTACCTAGTTGCTTATGCCAAAATGCCAAAAAAGAAGAAAGAGGAATAATGAGCGCTATTTGGAATAGGGTTGGGATATTGCCAATTTAAAGAGTGCAGTCAGAGAAGACCTCTCTGAGAAGGTACATTTGAGCTCAAACTTGAAGGAGGTAGAAAATGAGTTGTGCAGATACCTGGGATCAGATGGGGTATAGATGGGAGCATGTCTTTGTCTCCCTCGGGAGCAAAAGGTAGACACTTTTACTGACCATTATAAGAGATTTGGGTTCTCTAAGCTCAGAGTTCTGTTGCTATAATATAACCCATGGCATTTGCAGGGGTCATCTGTTCACCTTCAGATCACCTTGTGCAGCCCCACTTACATCAATGGACATATCATCCAGATACAAAATCAGTAAGGAAACACTGGCCTTAAGCGGCACATTAGATCAAATAAACTTAATAGATATATAGAGAATATTTCATCCAAAAGCAGCAGAGTACACATTCTTTCCAAGTGCACGTTGAACATTCTCCAGGGTAGACCACACACTAGGCCACAGAACGACTGTCAGTAAATTTAAGAAAATTGAAACCATATCAAGCATCTTTTCCAACCACAGTGCTGTGAGACTTGAAATCAACTACAAGAAGAAAAAAAAATGCAAAAATCCCAGACATGTGGAGGCTAAACAATATGCTACTGAACAACCAAAGGGTCACTGAAGAAATCAAAGAGGAAATTTTTTTTAATCCTGGAGACAAATGAAAATGGAAACACAATGATCCAAAATCTATGGAACAGCAAATGCAGTTCTAAGAGGGAAGTTTATAGCAATACAAGCCTACTTCAGAAAACAAGAAAAATCTCAAACAACCAACCTCACCTTACACCTAAAGGAATTAGAGAATGAAGAACAAACAAAACCCAAAGTTAGTAGAAGGAAAGAAATCATAAAGATCAGAGTGGAAATAAATGAGATAGAGACTGAAAAAAATAGAAAAGATCAGTGAAACTGAAAGTTGATTCCTTGAAAAGATAAACAAAAGTGATAAACCTTTAGCCAGACTCACCAAGAAAAAAAGAGAGAGGGCCCAAATCAATAAAATCAGAAACAAAAAAGGAGAAGTTACAACTGATACCACAAAAATACAAAGGATCGTAAGAGATTACTGCAAACAACTGTATGCCAATAAAATGGACAACCTAGAAGAAATGGGCAAATTTCTAGAAATGCACAGTGTCCCAAAACTGAACCGGGAAGAAATAGAAAATATGAACAGACCAATTACAAGTAATGAAATTGAATCGGTCATTTTAAAGCTCTCAACAAACAAAAATCCAGGACCAGATGGCTTCACAGGTGAATTCTACCACACATTTAGAGGAGAATTAACACCTGTCTTTCACAAACTATTCCCAAAAATTGCAGAAGAAGGAACACTTCTGAACTCATTCTGTGAGGCATCATCACCCTGATACCAAAACCAAAGGCATCACAAAAAAAGAAAATTACAGCCAATATCACTGATGACCATAGATGCAAAAATCCTCAATAAGATATTAGCAAACTGAATTCAACAATATATTTAAAGAATCATACACCATGATCAAGTGGGATTATCCCAGGGATGCAGGGATAGTTCAATATCTGCAGTATGGAGTTTCCTCAAAAAAACGAAAACTAGAACTACCATGTGACCCAGCAATTCCACTCCTGCATATGTGTCTGAAAAACAAAAACACTAATTCAAAAAGATACATGCACGCCAGTGTACAGAGCAGCATTATTTATGACTGCCAAGATATGGAAGCAACCTATGCAACCTAAGCAAACTATGAAAACTTCCTCAATCTGGTACTAAGGTTAATTTTTCTGAAAATAATAAAATTAATATAAATTTCTTGGGAAAAGTTGTACATAAATTCATCAAGTAAAAAGAGAAGAGTTGTTAGTTGACCCTCAGTAATGTATTAAACTAATGGTGATCATGTAGGTTTTAACCTGCAGGCTTTCCTAAAATTTACTTTCAGTAGATTTCACTTGATAGTCCTGACTGGTTTGGGTGAGATGACCTGTGCCACCAAACTCAGTTCTTACAAACTTTTCGCCTATATCAGGCATAAAATCAGGAATATAGACATATAACTACAAAGAAATGTTATTGATTGGATACATTGGTGGGGTACTAACATTCATGGGTTTCATCCTTAACAGACTACTTTTACATGTATTATGATTGTTTCCTATGCAGTAGATGGGGCAACTTTTTCATTTTATGAACAAAGATACTGAGATACACCTAATGACAATCATAGTTACTGACATTTTGTGAGCACTTACCATGTGCCAGGCATCGTTCTTTGTGCTCTGCAAGTATTAACTTAATTCTAAGAACAACCCCATGAGGCAGGCATTTTATTTTTCTTCATTTATAGATCAGGAAGCTCAGGCATGGAGATGTTAAATAACTTGCCTAAGTTTATAAGGAGAGCTGGGATTTAAATGCAAGCAATCTGACACCTGATAAGTGCTCCAAACCACTGCACAATTCTACATCTGGAAGAAGTTGAGCATCTTACAAGTCACATGGTTAGTAAGTGTCACAGGCAGGACCCAAACTAGGCCTCTGACTTTGAGTATTTTGTAGTGTACACTACCATGATGTCTTAAATCCATTTAATTATACGTTTGATCAGTGTCTTGTCCCCCAGTTATTACCTTGCATCTTTCTCTTTTATTTCCCTTTTATTGAATTTCAGTTGCTGTACACATTGCATCTTTCTTGCAGACAAAGAGTATCATCTATTTCCTTTGTAAATTCTCTAATTATTCCTTCCACTGAATAGGTTGTCAAGGGTATCATCGGTATCTTAAGTAAAACACAAAAACTTCAGGTACAGCCAAAATTCAAAAAATATTTTCACAGAATTTACTTATTTTACACGTATAAAACGTCCACTTAAAAATAAAAAGAGGGACTTCCCTGGTGGTGCAGTGGTTAAGAATCCACCTGCCAATGCAAGGTACATGGGTTTGATCCCTGGTCCGGGAAGATCCCACATGCCACGGAGCAACTAAGCCTGTGTGCCACAACTACTGAGCCTGAGCTCTAGAGCCCAGCCCGCGAGCCAGATGATCCCATGTGCCACAACTATGAAGCCCACGTGCCTAGAGCCCGTGTTCCGCAACGAGAAGCCACTGCAATGATAAGCCCGTGCACCACAACAAAGAGTAGCTCCTGCTCGCCGCAAGTAGAGAAAGTCTGCGCGCAGCAACGAAGACCCAGTGCAGCCAAAAATAAATAAATAAAAAGAGACTTAATTACAATTTATGAAAATCAGTTATAGTACCTGCTGTGTCTAAACTCTTGTGAACAAAATTTTATCCCAGAGAGCTTAAAATCTGACTTGGAAAAAACAAGACCCATAGGCACATGTTGAAAACCAACCTGTCATGGACAAAATAAGCAACTTGCAAAGGAGCTGGTGCCAGCAAACTGCCTGAGATAAAGAAATGATTTATTTGGAATCAACAGCAGTGTAACCAGGCATTGGCTGCCTTTGTTTTTGCTCGTTGCCACAGTCCTTCAAGGCACAAGCTTGTTAGGGTTCTGGCTCCAGCTGGGTCTCTACTTTCCAGAACGAATCTATTTCAGTGGCATTTATGTCATATCATGCACCTTCCACTAGAATGGTTAGGAGAAAAGTTATTGTGCATTTGAACAATTAATATTTAGGAGAGTAATCTTGAAAGAAAATCTAGAAAACTGTTTGGAAATAACTCTTAGTTAACTTAAAATAATTTACCTATAAAATAGAAAACATGTAAATGGAAATACTCAACTTTTTAAGAAACAAATTTTTGTATTTTTGCAGGCATCTCTGACTATAAACACTTGTCTATAGTGTATAGTCTCCTGAATAAAAAGTGACTTATGGTCTTCTTGATTTATTGACATTGTGGTTTTTAAGTGATTTCCTAAAAAATGATGACAGTCTTTTAGTTTTTAATGACAAGTGTTAAGAGACAGTGTTATTTCCAAATGTTACTGTGTTAGCACCTTGCTACATAGTTCAGGCTGTGCTGTGACATGAAACCAAAAAATTACAGCTTGCTGTTGATTATCCCCGGTGCTCAGAGGTAAGAGTGTTGTGGATAAATTAAATTGATAAGTAATCCCCAAAACATCATTTTAGCCATTAGCTTCAAATTTCTTTCTTATTAAGACTTTTTCTGGACAACTACTATTAAGCCTCCATATTAACAGATATTAAGCTTTAGCTTTCTCTTCCTACCTTCTGATGGGTGCTGCTCTCTAAGTGAAATATGAATGCCAGGTGAGGCAGCACAAGGAAGTGCGGAATTCAGGAGCCTGCATAATTCGCAGAATGCATCATCAGCCCTGCATATTCAGGGGTTGGCTCTGATTCAGCCATCAAACCCTTTATACAGAGGACTTATTTAGGAGAGCTAGTGAATTGAAAGCCAGGCCACTCGAAGAAATGGAACGATGATCCTTTGACTACCATGTGAGAAAGGCATCTACTGAAAATACCTCTCATACATCTACTTATTTAAAAAAATAACACTTTACATTCCAGGTGATCACCTTCTTTAGCTCGAGGTTGCTACAAGCTGGAGCTGAGCTGTCAGTGGAACGGGTTCTGGAAATCATCAAGCAAGGAGTCGTCGCACTGCCCAAGGACAGGCTGAAGGTAAGACTGGGGGAAGAAACATACTGTTGTATCACTTGATGTAAATATTAGTGTCTGAGTGGGCTCTATTCAGAATCATACCACTTACCCAGCACTTGCACTGGAAAAGGCTCTCTAAACTTGCGCTGCCTACTCTACTGTATATTGACACACAGAACTGTGGTGAAGGATTCTGACAGTCTTCTAGAAGAAATAGCAAGAGGACTGTCTTCACACCACTGCATAGCCTATGAGTAACCACTGTATATACTATGAGTAATTCATAGATATACTGTGAATAAAGGAGCACCTTACTTTCTTAACCCAGTGAAATAAATACAGGCTTGTAAGTATCATCAAGGGTTGATGGGAAGATGGTGGTGGTGGTGATGGTGATGATGATCACTACAACAGTAGCTAATATTTACATAGTGTTTTCTCAGTGCTTTTGGGAGGTTCTAAGTGTCTTACATATATTAACCTGACCAATCCTCACAACAGCCCTTTGACGGTAAGTAGTGTTATCATCCTAATTTTCAGATGAGGAATCTGGTGCACAGAGAGGTTAAGTAATTAACCCAAAGCCATATAATTAGAAAATTAGGAAACTAGGAGATTCATACCCAGGCCATCTGGCTCCAAAGTCCACACTCGTAATCACCACGCTATTTACTGTGTGCCCGGGAGTAGCTGTAGAAGAGGATCACTTCATGGAGGAGGTAGGGGAAATATTGTATTTTGAGGAGGCATTTACATTTGTGTGTTAGATACGTTTCTAAGTGATCTCATGATGTAAAACTCATACTTCAAGACTAATTTTCCCATAGGAAAATATGTAAGGGGGATATCTGGGGGAAGATGCGTGAATGTACAGCATTGTCGCCTATTTTTACCTTAATACTTCTTTTAATTTTTTCCTTCATTACCTCTCATGTTTTTAGAGTGCTCGTTCCTAAATGAACAGCACACAGGGTGTCATAGTGACTGTTTGGCCTTCTTCATAATGTTTTATCAGAACTAGCTTCTGTTCCAAAATTACTATTTGGGGGCTGTGTTTTTCAGCACTATCACTAGAACCGCTGCTTAATGAACATTGTAGGATATGAAAATATTTTCAGTTATAATAACAGTTTATAAAGCAACAGCACATTAGTCATAATCACTTGCAGAAGTTCCACTGTCCGTAAACAGCCGTGCAGTTCACGCAGTGCTGAGCAAAGGAGGGGTTTCTGCTTATCAGCTAAAATGGCACCACCATGTGGCTATGGCATAAAACCTGATTACGGTTCACCAGACCCTCCAGCTTTGACTTTACTCTCTTTTCCTGACAATTCCTGAAGTGTAGAGAATTCATATTATTTCCTTTCTTACCTAAAGTAAGACATCTGAGGTCTTTCGGGTTTTTTCTCACTGTTTCAAATTTATTTGAACTCTACCATGTTAACCAGTACAAAAATCCATGATGATTAGACTGGCAACTCATAGGAACTGATGGATCGTGGTGTTTAAGCTAGTCAAGAAAGAAGTGGAACTATCAAGAAACCATAAGGAAAGGATAATGCAGAGGAGTCAAGGGAAGGGGGATTTTGATGAGATCAAAGAGCCAGCATAGGGCTTCCCTGGTGGCGCAGTGGTTGAGAGTCCGCCTGCCGATGCAGGGGACACGGGTTCGTGCCCCGGTCCGGGAAGATCCCACATGCCGCGGAGCGGCTGGGCCCGTGAGCCATGGCCACTGAGCCTGCGCGTCCGGAGCCTGTGCTCCGCAACGGGAGAGCCCACAGCAGTGAGAAGGCCGCGTACCGCAAAAAAAAAAACAAAACTGAAACCCCATCGTGTCTCTCCTCTTGCACTGGTTTCCCATTTCACTGTACCTCCCCACCCCCAGCATCCTGTTTACCTCCTGTTCCTCTCCCCTTGTTCACACAGCTCTAGCTGCTTTGTTCTTTTCATTATTTCTTCAACATGCTTGGCATCCTCCTGGCTTTGGACCTTTTTAGTAGTTGTTCCTACTGCTTAGGACTCTGCTCTGAATAAGCATGCCTAATTCTCTCGCCTCTTTTTTTTTTTTTTTTTTTTTTTTTTGCTAAAGGTTTGCCCGGACCATTCTCTGTAAGACTTTCTCCCCCCACATCCTCACGGATACTCCCAGACCCCCTCAAGCTGCTCTACCTTTTCTGTATTTTCCAGAGCATTTATCACATCCTAGTACCCTAGATCATTTTGTTATTTATTATATTACGCTGATTGTTCACTGTCTGTTTCCTCCTGCTAGACTGTGAGCCCTGAAAGGGCAGGGACCTTTGCTTACTATGTGCCCAAGCACTTACAGCAACACTGTCACAGAGCAGATGCTTGAGAAAGACTTGCTCAGTGTTGATGGAACCTTGTGGCAAGCTTAAACCTAATGTCGTATGTTCTCATCATTGGTCATTGCCATGTTCTTTTGTGCTTTCATCCCCATTCCTCTTTGTGCTTTCTCTCCCCAGATGCAGCCTCCTATTACTTCCCTGCCTCCCATACCCTACACTGCCTTTTTAAACCCCAATTTCATGGTCAGGATGTATCCCCACACTCTCAGTCCCTGCACTGAATCTTCTCTCTTCACCACCTCTTTAACTGAAACCTGGTTCTCCCCTCAGGACTCCCAAACCCCTGCAGCATTTGGAAGTAAAAGCTGCTTGTTCTTTCATACTCCCCACCCTTCGGGGTCTGGAGATGCAGTTGGTGTCTGCTTTGTTTTCACTGTTGTTGCTTAGCTATTATCCTTCTACCCTTAAGTACAAAGCTCTGTTCATATGAGGCTGGTACCAGCTTCTTCTCCTCCTTATAGCTGCCACCTACTGACTCCTAGGCCTCTCTCTCATTTACTATAGCATCTGGCTCAGTCTTTCTTTCCGTCCATGGCTTATCATCCTGGGTGCCTATGATGCCCATGTGTATGGCCCATCCTTGGCATCCAATTCATTAACTGGCTCAGTCACACTGACTTTCATTCACATCTGTGTCATTTCAGTCCCCCACTCATGGCCAAATCCAGATCATGTTGTCATGGCGATCTGCTCCTTTTGAATATCTTTGGTCTAAATATACTGCTCTCCAATCACAACTTCCATTTCTTCTACTATGCTGGGTTTTTTTGTTTTTTTGTTTGTTTGTTTGTTTTTTGCAGTACGCAGGCCTCTCACTGTTGTGGCCTCTCCCGTTGCGGAGCACAGGCTCCGGACGTGCAGGCTCAGCGGCCGTGGCTCACGGGCCCAGCCTCTCCATGGCATGTGGGATCTTCCCGGACCGGGGCACGAACCCGTGTCCCCTGCATCGGCAGGCAGACTCTCAACCATTGCGCCACCAGGGAAGCCCAGGGTTTCAGTTTTTAATAGGACCACTCTGGCTGATGTGTTGAGGGTAGACTATAGAGCAACAATGAAAGCAGAGAGATCAGTTAGACTATTGCTTGACTTGGACCATGGTGGAAAGGTGGAAGTGCTAACAGAATTCGTCCAAGAAATTGTCTGGTGGGCAGAGGAGTGCACTTAGGCCTTTTAGGAGACAGCTATAGTCCACATTGATTACAGAAGCTCCAGGGAATGGTGGCTGAACGTAGGTTCTGATGGACTGGTTAGAGAACTGGTCTGCAAGTACTGGAAGAACTGTTTATGGAAGTGGATTTGGACTTGGACTAGGCGGTCTCAAGGACAGCTTTCCGATGTTGGCTAGCTGAGTCTTTCATCGTTAGATGCCTGGCTCTGCTTTGCTAAATGTTGTGCGGCTCAGCGGTATACGTGAGTCGATCTGCTACTGGTTCCTAGAGGCCGCCGGTACGAGACAATTCAGAGCAAACTTTGGAGGCCACGCACCATGAGACAATTTGGAAAACTATCAGAGAATCACCAAAATTGTGAAAGAACACAGGGAGTGATTAGGGGAATTCACCGGATCCAAGCAGAAGAGACTTGTCTTCAAGTACTGGAAGAATTGTTTACACAAGCAGATTTGGACTTATGTGTGGTCTCAGGAATAGGACTAATGGGTAGAAGGAACTTGCATTTCAGTCCCATAGAAGGGAGAACTTTCTAAGAAATGGAACTACAGTTGACCCTTGAACAATGTAGGGGTCCAGGGTGCAGACCCTCCACACAGTCGAAAACCCAGATATAATTTATCATCAGCCCTCTGTATCCACAGTTCCTCTGAACTCACAGATTCAACCAACCGTGGATTGTGTAGTACTGTAGTATTTACTGTTGGAAAAAAATCTATGCATAAGTGGATCCACCCAGTTCAAATCCTTGTTGTTCAAGGGTCAACTGTATTTAGAGATGGAATAGGTAACTTCTGGGAAGTGGTGCATTCACTGTCACTGGAGGTGTTAAGAGTAATAGGACGATGGCCACTTGACAGGGATGCAAATAGGTTCCATCTTGCATGAAGCTCTTACCTGTTGGTACTAGCTGGCCAGCACGGTAAATGGAGAAGGATTCTAAGGCTGAGTTCAGATGCAGCAGGAAAAGTGCTGAGATCCATTAGCAACGCCTGCCATTGGCAACAGGAGCACATGTACAGTTATTTGCCATTCCAATTGTAAGGACTCAAATATTGGAGGGGAAAACCAACTGTGTGACTTCTAAGAACGTTTCCATTCCTAAGAGTATAATTTTGTCTGTGTATATACTAAAATTATCATTCTCCACAAAGCAGGAAACTGCATAAACTTTTGATAACAGTTTTTACTCTCAGAAGATGCAAGAAACAATAAGGAAATATTATTAATCTGGGGATTTTTTATAACAGAGATCACCTTTCAGTTCATAATAGCAGAGGGCATAGTCAGGTTTGTATGCCAAAAGAACATAAATTGCTAAAAGTTGTATATGGTTCATAACAAGAAAATAATGTAGTTCAAGTGGGATGGAAAACAAATAAAATAAAAAATATTAACTATCCAGTCACTGATTGTTCTGTGTAAACAAATATGAGAACTACGTTTGTACTGAAGTATCTGTTTGCAACTCTGTGTCACATTC